AGCGGTAGGAAGAGGCTGGGGCTCCTAGTTGTCAATTCACCAAGGGTTAACAAGGACTTCTCACCCATCTCTCCACCTCTCCTCTCCCCATTCCTAGTGCCATTTGAGGTGGAAGGGATCTCTGTGGATTTGTCTATTTTACCCAAATGGCTAGAGGCAGGAACAACCAGGAAAGTTAAAAAAACAAAAAAAACAAACAACGACCCAAACCACCTCACATAAATGCAAATGCCTTTGAAGTTGCCCAATGAGACTGTGGTTTATCGAGTAGAAATCATGCTCACACTGAACGTGCAATCCTCCACCTGGTCTTCAGATGGTAGTGATCCCCATGGACAGCTTTAAGACCCAAGGGAAAAACAGCTCAGGCTCATATAAGAAGCACGAACAAACAGGGACACACTGGTTTGGTATAGGCACAGAGGCAGGCCCGGCAGACTTTAAGGGGTGGCTGGATCTTACAAAGGTGAATGGAAGAAGAAATGGTCAGAGGGCAGAGGGCAAAGGACAGAGGGGTGAGAGAAACAGGTCAAAGACAAGGCCAAGTTGAGTGATACTGTGTCCACACCAGCAAACATATTGGGTATTCTGGTAAAGTGATCACCAGGTGGCTAACTGGTGAAGCCTTAGGAAAAGCTTAAGAAAGGAGAAAAAATATTACCCAAAGTATATTTTTGGTAACTTTGGCCTCTATATCCTTATATTTTTGCCACCTTGGTCATATTTCCTCCTTGTCCTTCTGAAGATTCAGGGCCATAGAGAATCAGGGAAACTTGGAAGACAGAGGCTATAGTGATTACCTGGTCCAGCCTGCCAAAGCAAGCGCCACAAAAGTTTGCAGCTACTCCAGCATTGCTTGTGCCAGGAACTCAGTTTGATAGGAGACATCATTGCTCAGGAAACTTGCGTTGTTCTAGAGCCCTGCTCCCCACAGATTCAAGTTCTCCTTGCTTATTTCCTCATCCCCATACTCTGCTGTGTTCTTTAATCACAGATGGTTCCTACAGCAGATAGCTGTGGCTTTTGCCACTATTATTCCTCCTCCTCCTCGTCCTCTTTTCCTTACTTCTCCCCTTTTCCTCCACATTTTCCTCCTCCTCCCACCTCCTCATCTTCTTTCTCCTTTTTCCCCTCCTCCTTTTCTTTGTTAACAGTACTGGAATTTAAACTCAGGGCCTCTTGCTTGCTAGGCAAGTGCTCTGCCACTTTAGCCATGCCCTCAGTCCGTCCTTTCTTTCTTTCTTTCTTTCTTTCTTTCTTTCTTTCTTTCTTTCTTTCTTTCTTTCTTTCTTTCTTTCTTTCTTTCTTTCTTTCTTTCTTTCTTTCTTTCTTTCTTCCTTTCTTCCTTTCCTCCCTTCCCTCCCTTCCTCCCTCCCTCTTCTTTCCTTCCTTTCTTTCTTTCTCCTTCCTTCCCTTCCTTCCCTTCCTTCCTTCCCTTCCTTCCTTCCCTTCCTTCCTTCCCTCCCTCCCTCCCTCCCTCCCTCCCTCCCTCCCTCTTTCTTTCTTTCTTTCTTTCTTTCTTTCTTTCTTTCTTTCTTTCTTTCTTTCTTTCTTTCTTTCTTTCTTTCTTTCTTTCTTTCTTTCTTTCTTTCTTTCTTTCTTTCTCTCTTTCTTTCTTTCTTTCTTTCTCTTGTGCCAGAACTGGAGCTTGAATTTAGGGCCTGGGCACTGTCTCTGGACTTTTTTTTTTTAAATCAAGGCTAGCACTTTAGTGCTTGAGCCACAGCTCAAGGTGGTGGTTAATAGGAGACGAGTTTTATGGACTTTCCTGCCCAGGTTGGCTCTAAACTACCATCTTCAGATCTCAGCTTCCCAAGTAACTAGGATTACAGGAGAGAGCCACCAGTGCCTGGCTACTTTAGTTATTTTTGTCAGGCTTGAGATGCTGAGCCTTTTACCTCTGCCTACTCTGTAGTGAGGAGTACAGGTATTTGCTACTATGTTCACCCTCCTTTTCCTCCTCCTCCTCCTCCTCCTTCTCCACTTCCTCCTCTTCATCCTTCCTCTTCTTCTTCTTTTTTTTTTTTGGGTCCATTCGTGGGGCCTGAACTCTGGCCTGGGCACTGTCCCTCAGCTCTTCAGCTCAAGGCTAGCACTCTAGCACTTGAGCCACAGCACCACTTCTGGCTTTTTTCTTTTTGCTTATGTGGTGCTGAGGAATCGAACCCAGGGCCTCAGGCACACAAGGCAAGCGCTCTACCACTGAGCCACCTTCCCAGCCCCCTTCCTCTTCTTCTTGACACAGAATCTCACTATGTAGTCCAATCTAGCCTTGAACGGTCTCTGCCTCCCAAGTGCTGGGATTATTTCTTCTTTTAAAATCAAATCCAGTCAGCCCCAGTGCCATTCCCAATGGGACAAGTGCATTGCAGCCCCTCACTCACCCTATTTGGCCTGTCTCTGCATGCTGGCTTTTGCCAAAGATTGTCTCAGAATGTGCTGCCTGTGTTTTCTTTGTACACTCCCTTCCCTTTTCATCACACCTATTCTCAGAAATGACTTCTTCCACCAAAGATGCAAGTGACTGATCATGCTTCCTGTGTTACTTTCTCGAGACTGTTTACATTTTAACAGATTCAAAGCCTTGAGTCAAAGGGATGGCTGGGTATGTTTGGGTAGCAGTAATGGAAACAGGTGGCTAAGAGGTGTGAAGGCACAGGATTTCTCTTGGAATTCTTAAAATATACATGATACCATTCTTAAACAGAGGACCAAACTGACCAGGTAATTTCCTCAAATTGGGAACACCAGTGTGTGTCAGCAGTCTAGTTTGGTACCAGCTTTGCCTTTATCTAAGGTAAGAATATTCATCTGGCCAACAATATCCTTGCAAAATGAATTCCTTGAAGGTAGGGACTTGTTCTGATTCTTTCCTGGCTTACTGTCAGTCCTGGGGACTGAGTAACACATTAATAGTTGCTCATGCAGTGTCTTCTGGATGAATGAGTGAATGAGGTCAGGCCACATGGTTGTGAACATTGACAGCCTTGGGAAACCAACACAAGGGGATGGGAAAACTGGTTGAATTTTGATGCCATAAGTTACCAGAAGTTGTATCTGACCTCAGAGAAAATTGGAGATAGACTACAAAAACAAAATAATAGATATTGACATGGGGATTCAACTTCAGCCCCCATCCCTCAAGTTTCATGAAATGTGTTTTTCTCCCCCAATCAACAATTTCGATGTATCTATCAAACCAAAGAAAAGAAAGTTAGTGTTGGAACCTGATGCAGTGGCTCGAAGGCCAAGATGCTCTACATCTAAATGTAGAGCAAACATGGTAAAAAATAGTGAAGCAACTTGACTGAGAACAGGGACCACCAGCATATGGCGACAGGAATTCCAGAGACAGAAGATGGAAGAGATGGAGAAAGGGTAACAAACACATATTAGAAGAAAAGTCTCTGAGCTAAAGAAAAGCATGAGCTTATAGGTCAAAAGAAGATTCATTAGATGAAACAACATTTGGTCTTAATTTCCTAAAATTTCTGAAGTTCCTAAAATTTCTGAAGTCCAAAGAGTATCTTACAGTTATCCAGAAAGAAAGCCTAGGCTACTTATAAAGAAAATGAATGAGCTTGGTCTCAGACTCACTTCTCATTTATAAAATCTGGGAGACAGAAGATGAAGGAAGAAAATCTATAGAAAACTGAGGGAGTTGGTTGAACTCCAGAGACTTGATATTCAACCAAAATGCCATTTGTAGACATGCATACTCCCTCATGCATTATTTGAATAAAATACTCAAACGAATGAGTTCTACACAAGTAATGAATGAGTCAGAACAGAGACTGGAAGACAGGAGACAACAAAAAAAAGAGGGAAGAATGATTTTTTACTAAGAATGCTTAGTTAAATTAATGAACTCCAAATGAACACAGAATCATTGGGAATGTATAATTCAGGGTTAAGTAAGGATTATTATATAAAGAAGAGGAATGCTGTAAGGAAAACACATTCAAAATGATCAGTAATCTCAGACAAATGTAGGGTGGGAGATGGTTGGAAAAGTACAAGTGTCTTAAGGACTAGGGGAAGTAGTGAAAGAATTTTAAAGGCTCAAAGCATTGGAGAAATGGAATATTTTCTTGGGGTAATCTATTTGGCATTTTATTTTACACAGTAATGAAGAAATTGACTTTTGATCATGAGTCTTAGGGAAAGAGGCCTTGACTACTACTAGACGTGAAAACCTGAATGTTCAAGACTGCTCATTTAAATACTAGCAGTGCTCTAATTGTCCATGTTTAGGCTTTAAAACTCCAAGCTCTATCACTATAAAGTTCCTGTCTCTGTATACAGCAATTCCTCTTTTCCTATGTATGGCAATAGGTGCCACAGTGGATACTTTCGCCTTCTAGCAGGTGTCTTTAACTCAACTCTCACTTCCATGTCTGCCCAAGAGCCACTCAGCAAGTTCAGTTCTATAGCATCTATTACTTAGGTCAAGAAGATCATCTCTCTTTTTTTATTTGTGGGGCTTGAACTCAGGGCCCGGGCGTTATCCCTGAGCTTTTTTCACTCAAGGCTAGCATTCTACCACGTTGAACCATACTCCATGTATGGTTTTCTAGTGGTTGACTAGAGATAAGAGGCTCATGGACTTTCCTGCAGGGGCTGGCTTCGAACCATGATCCTCAGATCTCACTTTCTGAGTAGCTAGGATTACAAGTATGAGCCACTGGCATCCGGCTAAGATAATCTCTTATTTATTTTTCCAAAAGATTTTGGTTTTATGCCGACAACATGTAAATCAGACTCCTTATTTCTATCTCTGATAGTCTCATCACCAACTTCCTTTAATAATGTACACAGGATGGTTATGAAAATTTGAACAGAGGGGGGAAATCAGCCTCAGGGAGAGGAAGGCACAGGTGTGCTTGATTCGATGCAGGTGCAAAGAAAGGCAGAGAAGGTGAGTGCTGAGCAGATGGCCCCAAAGTGGAGGCCACAGGGAGCCAGGCAAAAACATTTCGGCCTGGAGCTGGGCTAATCACCGCTGGGAGACTTCTCTTCCTCACTGCTCTTCATCGTCAGGTACAAGATGCGGTTGGCCTCTGGGTAGGTGACTTTACTGAGTGGGAGCTTGTAGATTGCGGGGTTGTTGGTTGTTAGGAGCAGGAAGATGAGTGAGGAGAGGCAGAAGGCCCAGGTACCTGATGGCACACCAACCTGGAAATGAAAACATTGGTGTCTAAAGAACGTTTCTGGGGGCAGGGATGTGGCTCAGTGTAGAGTGCTTGCCTTGCAGGCATGAGGCCCTGGGTTTGATTCCTCAACACCACCTAAGCAGAAAAAGCCAGAAGTGGTGCTGTGGCTTATGTGGTAGAGCACTAGCCTGGAGCTGAAGAGCTCAGGGCCAGTGTCCAGGCCTGGATCTCTTGTACTGAGCCAGAGACTTGGGAGAATGATGTATAGGGGTTGAAGATGGGTACCCCTGGTGAAGACACTGGTGTTACTGGATTCAGAACATCATCATAGCTAGTCAAGAGATCTGAAGTGTTGGTCTCTCTGAGATGACATTTTCCCTCAGCTTTATTTATCCAACTCTGTTCTCCAATACTCATACATTGTGCTCTTTTCCTTTTAGTACACACACACATACACCGCCCCCCCCCCCAGAGGTCCATGTACAAAATTATTTTCCAGCTGAACCTTGAATAAACCTTGACAGAAGCATCGGGTAGAGTACCATATTCTATAACCCACTCAGGATTCTCCATCAGACCCCAGGTGTCTGGAAGCTGAGAGAGAACACTCTCAGGAAGAGTCCAAACTTACCACGGCCATCATGTTGGAAAGAGCTGCTCCCATGTAGGCACAGAACAAAGCTGGGGAGGAGAAAAGACCGTAAGAGTCAGCTCCGTCAAAACCTGACCCTCCCTTCTCCCCCCCACCCCGCCCCCGGCCTCAGCCACTGCCCTGGCTGACCACGAAGTCCACATAAAGAACATGGTCTTGTGTGCTTTCCTGCCGCCTCAGTGTCTGCAGTCTATCCTGACATCTGCTAGTTGTCTCATGTTCTTTGCTATCTTGTAGCTCTCTCTCACCTCACTGTGCATTCTCTGAGGCAGAGATTAGTGCTTACATATCCCCTCCCACTTCCATAATGGCTGTAGCTGGAGGTGGGGTCGATATACACATTTTGCTGTTCTCACTGATCTGGGGATGGGCTAGCACAGGCATCTCACCAACGAGGGGGAGAATAACCAGAGTGACTTGGTTGTCCCTCTCCCAAATACCAACCACAGACAAGGGCCAGCAGGTGGGTCTGCCAGGTAAGGGCATAGAACATGCCCCCGATGGCAATACAGGAGAGGACACAGTTGTAGCTCCAGAGGCCCACGTAGATCGTCTCGAAGGGGGTGGCCACTGTCAGAGCTATGGAACAAGACGACACAGAGGGTTCCCAAGTGAGCAGAAGGCAGTGGTCTCTGACCTGTTTTCCAAAGCCCCTGTCTTCACAGAGGCGGGACTATTTCTGGGGTAGCCTAGGAGAGGAGGTCAGCCACCCCATCTTAGCCAGAGCAGCTGCATTTTCAGCAGGCAAGATGACGACTTAATGCTTTGTTTCAAGGGGAGCAGCAAACTTGTGTGTGTACACACAGATAAATGTAGAGAGTGGGGTGTTCCAGCAAAGGGGCACATTAAGTGATTTTGGGTAAAGAAGCAATGGAGACCTCTTGGATTACTTTTGTTTATGTAATTTTTAATGAGTTTAAAGTTATTTCCAATGGGGAAAAATTAAAATTCTGCCTCCAAAAGTCATTTTGCAAAACATTGGAATATGTAAAAAAAAATTCTCTTCCAATACCTCCTACCCACTTTTCAGACTATTAGGAGAAAGAATAGAACCATGGATAAATGTGTATACACACATATACACATATGTTTAGGGATGGGAAGTGGTGTTTGGGCAATGCCAATCCAACTTTTAGAAGGCCTTTTCTGTTCAGCTTATTCAAACCTTCAAAGTGCTGGGCCATGTGCACCCAAGCTGGCACCCGGTCACCTACCCATTCTCCACTCATTTATTCTCCTCTATCCTTAGTTGCAGGGCACAGCATGCAGGCCTCTTGCATCTACCCATGTATCTTGCTACTGCAGTCTGCTCTATTTGGTGGCTCAGGCAAGGAAAAAGTAAATCCCTACCACTGACAGGGTTTTAAAACTCCACCAAAGAGAGTAAGTCTAGAATTTTTGCTGTGCACAGGGGAAAGATGAGCTTAGAAAATGATTGCAGAGATCTCCTTGCAGCACAGGGTTCCATCCTACCTGCTAGCATCCCGATGATGGATCCAATGGCTGCATGCAGGCAGATGAGTGGTGAGGAGATGAACAGAGCCACCAGGATCAAACCACCTGTCCAGGGATTGTCACAGCCGTACACCTGGCCGATCCCTACGGGGATGGTTTGTAGCAACTGCAAAGCCAACAGAATGCAGGTCACTGGAGTGTGGGTTGATAATGTGAAGACCTGGCCACAGGCCTAGGGCCCAAGCCATTCCTGGAAAGGTAATGGGGTGGAACAGATGGATGACCGTGCTCTCCAGTGTGAGAGAAAGTAGGGGAGCGAACGAGCTGGAACAAATAGCTCCTCACTCCACCACCTACCAGGCATCCAGCATCCCTCATGCAGTCAGATGGAGCCCTTAACATGGGGGCCAGGCATGGACGCTTCTGAGGAGATGGCATCTGCTGTGAGAAGTTTTGGGGGAGTCAGAATGTACCTTCGTCTAGGCTGCCATTGAGGGCTTCCGGTGTGAGGGGATTTTCTATAGACTTCCTGAAATTTCAAATATTCTACTAGACATAGTGGAAATATCCTGGGCCACTTTGATGGCTGTGAGGAAAAGGAATAGCTAGAGTGACCGGTGGCCACTTGAGTTGACCCCTAATTTAAGGTCACTTACTATCTCTCCACTGAGAATCCATTAGTAAGGCCTCTTTGTGAGTGCTGCCCATTGAGCACTACATTGGGAAGTAGTGGGACATTTGGAAGGAGAAGACATTTCCGCTCCTCTCTGGGAACACAGATTGTGGCTTGAACAATAAGCTGAATAAGTGTTGGTGAGCCTGAGAGTGGGTGATAACGATGAGTTGGGAACTGATATCAGATGATCTTCCTCTGGCCAGATGGAGTCTTTTGAGGGCAAAGAGGAAAAGAGGGAGACTACAGTAGGGTGAGTCTTGGCCTGGGAATGTAGAATCTAGGGAGTACTATGTATTGTGCTTATTGTATGACCCTAGGCATGTCATTCCAAGTGAGCCTGGCCTGGCAGATGACCTTCCTGCTGTAGCATTCTGGAGTGCTTTTCTCCATTACTAGGTTCTCTGACTCTCTACGAGGATAGGTTCTTTATGGCTGGCTACACAGGAAGTGCTCAATTAATGTGTACTATTGGTCCTGTGGGTCCCACACCTTTCTATACGTTGGAATCCCCTGGAAAGCTTTCAGACACACGGATGCCTGGCTCCTTCAGAGACACTCTGGTTTGACTGCTATGAGCTAAGGTACAGTAGAGTTTGGGGGCCCCTGGATTAAGTATAGATGATCAGCTATGGACCCGGGGAGCCAGTTGCATCTTGGAATGAAAGTGTGTTATTAGTGATATCTTGGCTTGATTTTGGAACCATCCTTATTTCTTTAGGGAATCGTGTTTGAAAGAGTCTTAGCTTTCAAGTTTTGGTCACCCTTTGTCTCCAAATGCCATAACCAAACCCAACTATAAACATCTGAAAGGCAGGATGGGGCCTGGTGTTATTTGTAGAAATCTATAAGACATTTTGTACCAGACTGGAGAACTTAGCTTATGTGTACGGAACATGCTGGAAATCTGCTCAACAAATATCCCATGATTTGCCAACATCTGAGGAATGCAGAGTGCTGAGGGAGTTCAGCTTCTACCATTTCCATCCAGGGACACAGGTGGAGAGCCCCAAGCAGTCAAGAATGAGAGGAATGAGGGGACAAGGGGCCTTGGAATAGAGCCTGGGTTTAGAATGACGCTGCTGGGATCCATATTTTATCTAGGAGGCTGTGCACCAAGGTAACCTTGCCCCAGACCATACTACTCTCCAGGCCACAGCTGACATCCTGGGGCAGAAAGCAGTCAGGTATGTGGTGGAAATTTACTGAGCACCTGGACTTGTTATTCTTCTTATAATGCTGGTGTAACAACACTCTAGTTGAACAAAACAAGTCCTTTGACCCTGTTGCTTTAGAGAAAGAGGAAATGGTACTGATACTTCAAACTTCAGATAGATGCTGTTCGTGTGGGATGGACGGATGCTGGTTTTGAGTGATGGGCTAATGGGGAGATGAGAGAGTGGGCTTGGGGCCTCAAGGTGCCCATATTTCCTAGTTGTATATTTGGAAGACGAACAGGAGACATCTCTTCCCTGTGACCTTCATCATGCTGGCCCAGTTTCTTGGTGTGGGGTGCCACACGAGCCTCTGGCTGTCCTTTGGATAACACCCTCCAGGATAGCAATCAGGACAGTGAGTCTACGTGGCCCAGGGCTTATCCTTGACAGTTCTGTCCCAACTTGGTCTCTGCTTCTGTCCTGGCTGCTTTGCATCGGTCAGGAGGGCTTTCCTTGATGGGCCCTTCAGTATAGGCCCCAAGTCTGCCTCTGATCTTATTCCATGGTAATCTGGGTCAAAGGTAAAATGGGACAAGGTAAAAATCTTTGGAAAGTGTTTGTGTGCCCTAGCATTTGCTCCAGAAGCAAAGGAACATTTGCTTTCCTGATGCGTTTAGATTTAGAGCGTTGCTGGCCCTGGAGGATCCTGGGGGTGGAGACTGTAGAGCTGAGCACCAACAGAAATTTTCTTGGAGCTTGGGCACACCTAGACCACAGGAATGACTTGGCAACCAGGGCTCCAAAGTCCTTTCATAGACATACCATTGGAGGACATGGATTACGGTTTAACCATGTTAAAAGACTATCTTGCAAGCAGTTATCTTCCAGTATTCTAGACTGCAGAACTAGAATCCCCAGGTGATATATAAAGGGAAATGGATTTATGAAGAATGTAAAGAACCCTCCAACACTTAATAGTGTCCCATATTGGGCTGGGGCTGCTTTGAGAAGTAGTGAATTTCTGTTTATTCAAGCTGAGGGCGTATGATCTGACGGGGACTGCTGGGGTAGTGGTTCAAAGATGAGGCTCCCAGACTTCCCAGGTGTTAGGCACAGGTGCTAGCTGCATGTTTACATTGGGTAACTGCTGTTGTCCTGCAGATGAAAAACTGCAGTCAGGAATAATATTAGTACCTACAGTATTGGGTTATTGTGAGGGTGGCATGAGTTAATATAACAATCAGGGCTTGGAAAAGCATAGGTTACATAGTAACTTGCTTCTTAATATAAGATGGGAAGAGATGGGAAGGGGAAACAAAGCAGGAGGCAACAATGCTTGGTAAGAAATGTACTCATTATTTTGCCCATGTAATTGTAACCCCTCTGTATGGTATTTTCACCATTAAAAAAGAAATAAAAATAAAATATTTGCATTAGTTTCTCACTCTTCATCAAATTGCCTATGTTATCTAATATTTTTCAGTAAACCACAGCCACCCTGTGACACCAGTTGAACATTTACCTATTCACTGGATTTGTTTTTCTTTTTCTATGTGTGGTGTGTAGGTTTCATGAGCGTAGGGATGTTGCCTTATTCTCCGTGTATGCCTAATATCGGAAAAAGTGCCTGGCACATGTTAGATGTTCAATAGAGTTGTGCTAAAGGGTTGACCGGATGAAGTAGCCACCATTTTTATGCACTGCTGAGGCCTATCACATGGGCCTTGGGTAAGCTATGATCTGGCTAACCAGGTGTGCAGTAGGATCTAGGGGTTACAGCTCATTACCACTGGGTAACTTACCAAAGGCATTTCAATCTCTGACCAGGTGAGATTAGGCACAGCAGATGCAGGCTGCAGCAGCGTCGTGGGGAAGAAGAGGTTGTAGTGGCCTGTGGCTGCCAGGTACAGTGTCACGGCGATATTGAAGGGCAGTGTGAAGACCGGAAGGTCCCACTTGCTGAAGATGGAATTCAAAGCACTAGTAATCACTGGGCTGAAGATGGAAGGGAGAAAGGGTTAATCATTATGAGCACCGTTAGGGAGACGCTGTCTCATCACCTCTGGCCGCTGTGCTAGCCACCACCCCCTCTCCTTGTAATCATTTCTGGATGCTGGAGATTCCAGTAGTCTGTTGATTGGGGATTTGGAAACAAGGTGTTCATGTTAAGCTCATGGATTGGTGAATTGTATTTGAAAGATACATTTTGAATAGGCTATTAAAATGAGTTCAAATCATTTTTTGATCCTTGAGACAAAAACATCGAACAAAATACGATTTTTTACAAAATGTGATTATGCTTTTGGATCATCAAATGTACACCAGCTACTGCCTTACACTATGATAACATTATTTTGAGTCTGACCATATAGGAGAAGGCTGCATGTCCATAAGCAAATACACAGGTTTGGACTCAGTAAAACTACTAAGAACACTTGGGAACTGTCAAGTGACATGGAACCTCTAGTCGCTTGTATCCCCAGGCTTCTTGGTCTCCTTTGGAAAGAGCATGACTTTTGGAAATAGATTGAGCTGGTTTTTATGTTTATAGGATGAGTGAGCAATATTACAAAATTAATTTTCCTTATATTCACTTTTCCCGGGAATGGATTCCTAGATTCCTAGCACCTGCCATTCCTTACCTCAGAGGTGGCTGGACAAAACACAAATTCCTATGATGTAATTGAATGGCCTAGCTTTAATTAATTTCTGCATCTCACCTGGGTACCTAGGCCTGCTTGAAAAGCCCTATTCCGGATCTCCATCATATTAACTCTTCAACACACCGAGACCTATTTCACATTTTCACTGTCTGCTTCTTATTTAGTTTTAGCCTATCACTGGCTTTTACTTCATTAAAAAAATCGAAATGATCAGATGATAAAAGTTTTGTTTTCACAACCCTAAGAATCCATACCTTACTTGCTTTGGTCCCACATATTCTGTCTCTTGTATTTGGTGAAAGTGTCCCTGTCCCTTCCTCAGACAATTCTCTTCCTTGTTCTTTGGAATGGATCTGTCTCAAGGACATTCCTCTGGTGATACTCTCCTCTTTTTCCTGAAGCCTCAATTCTCCACCCCGCCCCTCACAGTTATTCTTATCAGTCTATGAAATGCTATAATGTCTTCTATCTTTAAAAATCTTCTCCCTTTAATTTGCTGTGCTCTCTACTATTGAGAACTATTTCACATTTTTCATGCCTGCTTCTTGTTTAGTTTTAGCCTAATCACTGAGCTTCACTCCATTAAAAAAAATAGAAATGGCTTCATGCTTGCAATCCTAGCTACTCAGGAGGATGAGATCTGAGGAATGTAGCTTAAAAATAGCCCCGGCAACAAAGTCTATGAGACTTTTGTCTACAATTAATCACCAAAAAGCTGGAAGCAGAGGTGTGGCTTTTTCAGCTTTGAGCTGAAAAAGTTCAGGGACAGTGCCCAGGCTGAGTTCAAACCTGGCAAAAAAAAAAAAAAAGATCAGATGATCATTTGGTTTATAACTCTGTAGAACATTTGCCATCTGATCATACTTAAAACCCTGTTTAAAATCTCTGCTTAAAACCCTTTAGCTGTTTTGCATTTTTTACTACAGTTGTAATAAAAGTTGGAAGACATATTGCATCTTTGGGGTAAATGAGCCCTCATCTCACCTACGTGGCCTTCACTTCCTGTTACTTCCCACCCACTACGTCTCAGCCTCCTTGTTCTTGTCTGTTCTGTGAACACCTCCCACTTCCCTGGTTTGGCTCGTCTACGTGCAGCATCCTTCAACCACATCTGCAGATGGCAGGTATCTCCTGTCATTTAGGTGCTAGCTGAAATGTTTCATCTGCAAAATGGCCTTCCCTGACCACGTAAGCCTGGTATCACTTCCTGAAATGACTTTCTTTTATTTACTAGTTTCTGAGTTTGTTTGTAAATAAACTCTCAGAGATACATTTCCCTGTTCATAGCAATTCCCAGTATCTGTGTTAGTCCCCGCACTCAGCTGAGAGAGTCTCTCAAATCTAGTGTTTTGGATAAAGCGGGATAATGCCACTATGAGTACCCACCCTACTTAAACTGAACTTCAAGAACTGAATGAATGGAGTAATGAATGTATGAGAGTGGTAGGTAACGTAGCAGCCCACCCAGGGTACAGCATTACTGTTTTCTGTCTTTGGGAATTGGGAAGAGAGGACACTGAAGTCTAACTGCCATCCAGTGTCATTGCTCAGGGGCTGTGCTGAGGAGCTTCATCTACATAGTTATAAACCAGATGTATGCAAATAAGAACAAATTTCTGCTCTCCACAGGGTATGGGGGTGGAGTGAGTATGGGAACCATTACAGAGATCCCCATAGAAATGACTGACTTATCCTTTTGTCCCAATGGATTAAGAAAGAAAAAAAAAAAACCCCAAGAAGAAAAATAAATGGCCAGGAATGCTTAATGTAGGAATTTATTTGCAAGCACTACTAAAAAGTAATGAAACAGTACTTAAGCTAAATTAAACTAACTGATTTTTAGTAACTCCAGACTTTGAAACCAATGAAAGACGTTTACTTCTTGGAGATGTTCAAAATAAATCACCATGCCTGCTTTATTACTAGGAACCAGAATAAATCTGCATGTCTGAGAGAAGTTAAGACGAATGTGGTATATACATGGGAAGTCAGAGGTTTGGGGACAGGGACTCTCAGGACAGCAGGCACGCCATTGAGATGGGTACACCACTGATCTGCTGTAAATGAAATGATGAAGGACAATATGCATGGATGGCTGAGCATGCCCTAGACTCAATGATTATTTGTTCCTAACTCTTCCCTGATTTCAACAGATAGTGCTAGTTCAAAGATCCCATGCTTCTTATAGGTCTGTCTTTTCTAAGTAAGATGTCTGGTTCTATCACAGGTGAGTTTTCAGCTTTGAGTCTTGACTATGCTGGTAATAGATGACCCCCAGGCAACCTGGATTTTATAGCACAGACTTCAGATTCAGAAAGGCAGCATTAGAAACTTGGATAGAATATAACAGATTAATAAAACTCTCTATGCTTCAGTTTTCCCTCGGGAACAAATATAAACCTTCCCTTGTTTAGGGACAGCTCAATGAATGTTAGTCTCTAGCCATGTAATAAGAGCATGAGGTCTTAAGAAGGCCCTCTTGTTATTTCACATCCCCACCTTCCAGGATTTGGGGGTCTTCACAGTGTCTACCTGGGCAAAGCATCGTCTGTGAAGGTCTGGGCCGACAACAGTGTGCATCCATCCCTGTCCAGTGAAAGATGCAAGCACTGTGGGGCCCTGTGGGTTTGGAAGAAGAGAGAAGGAGGCTTCTCACCAGGCCATGGTTGTGAAGATCACTGGAAACAGCAGCCACCAGTAGTAGTCTGCCTTCTCGGAGAACACGGCTATCAGCAGCCCCACCAGCATCCCATTGTAGCCGTGGAGTCCGGAGGCGATGGCTGACCTAGGGGAAACAGTTACTTTTTGTTGGAATTTGGTGATGCCCCTGAGGACCTTCCCTCTTGGACCTCTAAGATCTCCTTAATTTAGACAATTCCTTTAATAATGAGACAAAAAAAAAATCAGCCCAGGCAATGAATATTGGACAGCCACAGAGCTACCAACTCCTTTCTCAATGACCATCTCCACACACCTACCCTTGATTACTCTCACTGATTTAGAAGTAAAATGACACACTTTGTCTAATCTGGGCAGTGTAGGTCAGGGTCTGGATCAGGAAGAGAGGTGTAGTGCCCTCAGATTTCTTTTCTGAAACAAAACGAGGAATAGATCTATGCATGGGTCTCTCCCCTTTGCCCCCCACCCCCACACTGAGAAATGGGTGGGGGTCACTAAGATGGCTCAGACAGAGGAAACACCTGAACATCAGCCCCAGGGAACATTGTGCACCACAATGGCAATCATTCCTGGCCTGTGCACACAGGCACTGGCTGGCAGATGGACCTCAGTGCCCTCCACCCACTTCCCAATTTAATAGAAAACATTGACACCCTGCCCTGGACAGAGCTTTGCATTTCCTTCCCCCCGTTTCTCTCTCTCTTCCCTCCTCCCCTCTTTCCCTCTCCTCCCCCCTCCTTTTTGCCCTCTTGCCTTCCCTTCCTGTCCCTCTTTCCCCTCTCCTTCCTGCTCTCCTCCTGTGCTACATTTGAGACTTCCATTAGATTTCCTTCTACACCTAGCAGCCCGAGACACTCGTGCAAAGAAAAGATGAGTTCATTCCCCCATCTTTCCAACACGCAGATATGTCTGACTTCTCTGAACTCTTGAGTATTTACTGTCTTGTGTCATTTTGAGATGTTTATTTGCTCATTCATCTTCTCTCCTCAAACTAGATTCTAATCTCCATGAGAGAAGAATGTCTTAAGTGTCCTTCTGCTTCTACTTCAGAGGGAGTGTTTTGAGTATAATCCACAGCCAAAGAAGCTTGATGCTCTGCCTTGCTGTGAGCCAGAACAAGATGATTCTGTAGGGACTTCCAGTGATCTGCTCAAAGTTGACTCAGGAGATTTGGCCGTCTGCTCGGATAAGGTTTGCTGACTGCTTGAGTAAACACTTCACCTACCTGCCATATGCGTCTTCCCAAGAGACCCATAGAGACAAACTCACCTGTCCTGGCTTAAGATGAGGGCAGTTAAAGTCGAGACAACTGTCCCTAGAGCCCCAGCAAGTGCCCACCAGGGATTCTGGATCAGAAGTCCTATGAAGATGATGAGCCCACTGAGGGGGTTGTTGACAAACATCACCTGAGCAGTTCCCCTCAGGAACCAGTCTAGGAACTGGAGGGCCAGGGGCTTATCTACAAGAGACAGACAGAGCCATCAGTGGGGTCCTGCCCTTACTGTCCTCACTGCACCACTGATTGGCATGACAGTCAAGGCTCACAGGAACCAGAACACTTCCCCTCATTCAACCTGGCCCCGGTGAAGAAGTAGAGGCTTGGGAGTGGGGATTGGCATTTAGTCCAAATATCTCAGTAGCCCAGCAGTTAGTCTTCAGCAGGTGGTAGTTCTTTTTACCATATAGGCTGAGGCACCATGCTGAGAACAATTTAACACAGTTCCAGCCATTGGCTTTCTTGGCAAGAAAGGCCCAAGAGCATTCCTAGGAAATACATTGACCCAAGGGAAGGGATGAAGAGGGAAAGAAAGCCTCTTTTTGTGTAGTGTTCTACGGCTCAGCTGAGGGAAAGTATCTGAACAGCAAAGAAAGTCGCCTGAAGAAAGGAAGCTGGAAAAGAAATTGTTTTAGCCCAGCTGTGAAAACAATGATTGAATTGGGACCTGGAGGAAGCCAGGTGTACACGAGGGGATGTACAGTTTTCCACCTTCTCGGCTTTGGTTTCCAGGACAACTCATGCTGGTTGGGGCAAGTAGGATCAAACGGGGGAGCATTTAATTCAAAGAAGAAATGAAAAAAGGAAAGAACTACAGAGCCCTTGGGGAGGGTGATGCCAATTTGGCACATAAATGGCAGTGGAACAAGTGGCCATTCAGCTTATTTGGGAAACAGCTTACATATTTTTAAATTAGGGAAATGCATTTAATTTCCAAATTATGCAGATTCCAGGCTAGTGCGTATATTCTGCCCACCTGGAGTTGACTGAGGGCTGAAGCTTCCCCCGGTCATAGGAGCTCTTTCTTGTCCTGGGAGAGAGGAAGTAACTTTGTGTCCAACCTGGAAGGATTGCTGTGACCCAGCCCCTCACTTCTTTCCTGGGCATTTGCTTACCTTTCAGCCAGTTCCTGCACTCCTTCATCTCGCCTGTGAGGTAGCCCACTGCTTGGAAGAGGCTGAAGCCTCCCCGGCCCGCAGAGCCTCTGCGGGACACCTCACTTTCTCTCCTTTTACTCCTTTCATTGGATTTTTCAATTTTCACAATGTGGCTGTCTTCATCAGATGATCGGAGGTCCTTCCACAAGAAGATATAAAATAATCTGTCTTATTTTACTTCCGTGGCAGGCTCTTGCTATACAGCCCAGCTTGATCCTCCTGCCTCAGATTCCCAAGTGCTGGGACCATAGTCATGCGCTGCCATACTTAACAATATATATTTCTTTTAGAAAGCAGAAGCATTTTCTTTTTTTGTCGGCCATGGGGGCTTGAAATCAGGGCCTGGGCATTGTCTCTGAGCTCTTTTCCTCAAAGCTAGCACTCTTCCACTTTGAGTCATAGCTCTACTACCAGTTTTTGAGTGGTTAATTGGAGAGTTTCATGGGGACTTTTGTGGCTGGCCTGGCTTTGAACCACAATCCTCAGATCTCAGCCTCTTGAGTAGATACAGGTGTGAACCTGGCTAGTGTGTGTGTGTGTGTGTGTGTGTGTGTGAATACATATGTATATATGTATATAGATTATCTATCTATCTATCTATCTATCTCTATTAGAGGTAAAGGATAATAAGACAAAGGTGAGATCCATGTCAATGGTCTCCAGCTGTCTGGGTACCCCATAATGCAAATCCACTTTCCAGTACTACATATTCCTATAACTGAATTTCTTAACCATTTTCTTGATCCATTTCTTTTTAGTACTTTACTGAAGCCTATGGACTTTTCCTCAGAATAATATTGGGAAATATATAAAATAAGTAAGATTACAGAGAAAACCACTTATACTGAGATGCATTTATCACAGTATTTAAAAATGTGATTTATATATATACATTAGATCCAATACCTGTTATAACTTCAAATTAGTAATGAGTGAATGTAGGGGACCTTCTTGCCCCACTCAGGACAATTCTGTAAGGCTATTCCTGTTCTAGAGCTCATCACAGGATTAGCCAAGGCCTATAACTGTGATTGTCTCACAGCTCAGTTTCTCCTTTGGTTTAATCCTACTGTCCTTCCTCTTCCATAAACGTTTGTTCCAGAGGCTGAGTTCAGTAACATTTCTTACTGGCTAGTCTCCATAATAGTGTCAGATTCCTGGGAAAGCCAATTTGTGTTAGTGATTGAAATCTCAGGTGCTATGAACATGACTGTGGTACATTGTCTAAATTTGTAATTAAAGTAAATGCTTACATCCATTGAGGAGTAATGTACATAAGGATAAATTACTTTTCACAGTCAAGTTCACATCTCCTTCAATCCTGTACCTGGACAACTCAGTCATAGCTTATTGTTATAAAGCTCTGCTGTTCAATATTTTAGCTATTAGTGCATGTAGCTTCTGAGTACTTGAAACATGGCTAACCTACAATAAACTAGGAATAGAAGGAAAAATTCCCCAAATTGATAAGGAACATCTACTAAAATCCCACAGTTAATGTCACCCTTAATGGTGAAAGACTGGGCATATTTTCCCTGTTAGATCAGGAACAAGACAAGGATGTCTGTTCTTGCTGTTTCTATTCAACATTGTACTAGATATTCTAGTCCAAGCAATTAGGCAAGGAAAAGGAACAAAAGGAACCTTGATTATAAAAGAAAATGTTAAATCCAGATTGCATCTCTATTTGCAGATGGTATATTTTTCATATTGAAAATCCTTATCTGCAAAATCACCTATTAAATAATTATATGAACAAGTTCAGCAAGGTTCCAGGCTAAAGCAATATACAAATCAATTATATTGCTATATACTGGCAAAAGCAATCTAAAAATAAAATTAAAAACATGGTATTTCTGGTAGCATCAAAAACTTAAGAATATGTAATATATTACTATAATAAATGTAAAATAATTGAAGACAGAGTTAACAGAAAATGTGCAAGTCTTTCATGCTGAAAGCTACAAAGTACTATTGGAAGAAATTGAAGACCTAAATAAATGGACGATTGACCTGTATTCATGGATTTGAAGATTTAACCTTGTTAAAATGGCAACAGTCCCCAAATCCATCTACAGTTACATCACAATTCCTATCAAAATCCTAGTCATATTTACTTTTCCCCACAGAAGTGAAAAACCTGATCCTAAAACTTATACAAAATACAAGAGTGCCACCATAGACAAAAATTTTTTGAAAAAATATAGGAACAAAAGTGGATGATGCATTTTTCTTAATTTCAAAATGTGCTAGAAAACTATATAAGATTGGCACTGGCATGAAGATAAATATATGATTCAATGAAATAGAATTGAGTCCAAGAATGACCTTATACATCTATGTTCTATTGATTTTTGATAGAAGTTCCAGTAGAGAAAGAATAGTCTTTTCAACAGATAATAGTGAATCAACTAGCATGTCCATATTGAATAGATTGAAGTTGGGCTCTTTAATACTATGTACAAAAATTAGCTCATAATGAGTAAAATATCTGAATAAGATAAAGCCCTGCGCATAAATCTTCATGGCCTTGCAGAATAAAATTGATTCTTAAGATAAGATAAAAGTATACACAAAGGAAAAAAAGATATATAGAATTTAATCAGAGTTTTCAAAGGGCTCAAAGAACATTATCAAGAAAGAAAACTAACCCTATGATGTTGGAGAAATTATTTTCAAGTCATACATCTGGTAAGGGACTAGTATACAAAACTACTGTAGTTCAATAGTAAAAAGACAAATGATTTGAAAAGATATTTTTCCCAAAGAAAACACCAGCGGTTAGCAAGCACTTGAAATGATGTTCAATCTCATTGTCACTAGGAAAATATCAATCAAATGCCAAATCATCATGAGATGCTATATAGGGCTATATAGTAAGGGCAATACCAGGGCTATATAGTAAGAAGGATGACTAATAAGTTTTGGTGAAGATATAGGGAAGTTAGCATTTCATATATTATTAGTGAGACTGTAGGGAAAAGTTTAGTAGTTAACTAAAATGTTACACATAAAGTCATATGAACTAGGAGTTCTCTTATTGTTTATACTGAGGTAAATAAGAGCGTAGGATCACATAAAAATCTGTACATGGTTGTTCATAGCAACATTATTTATAAAAGCAGATGATGAGCAGATAAACTGTTATATTTACATAGTGAAATACTGTTTTGTTTAAAAGGAAATGAAGTACTACATCATGCTACAACATGGATGAACCTGGAAATGTTATAATGAATGACAGAAGGTCACAAATTATATGATTCCATTTATGTGACATATCCATTGTTAGGTAAATCTTTAGGAACAGAAAGTATATTGGTGGTTGTCAGGTGATGGAAGGCGTGGAATAGGAGGTGACTATTTTTGGATATGGGCTTTTTATTTTCTTCAGTTAATATAAATATTTTGGAATTAGAGTATAGTGATGTTTGCACAGCTTTATATTTAAGATCATTTAAGTGACTAGTTTAGGAGAATACATTTTACGTTACATGTCATGATATGTATCTGGATTGTGTCCACAGGGCTAATTGTTAAAGGCTTGGATGCCAGCTGATGGGGCTTTTGGAAAATGATTGTATCATGAGGACACTAACTTCTCATGGATGAATCTACGGAGCACTCATAATTTAATGGCATTATTGGGAAGTGATGAAAATTAAAAGGCAGGGCATATATGGAGGAGTAGGTGCTTGGTGGTGTATATTCTTGAAGGGCAATTGGGAAGCAGAGAGAATGCTTCCTGGCTGCCTTATTTTGAGCAGCTTTCCTCTCTGCCTTACTCTTCTGCCATGATTCCTTTACAACCTACAGAAACAGAACTGGTTAACCGTAAGTTGGAACCATGAATTGAAATGTATCTTTCCTCTTTTGAAGAGTTTCTCTCAGGTATTTGTTACAGTAATGAAAAGTCTGACTGACACAGTGTGAACATTATATCCCATAAAACATCTCTTAGCAGTTTTGTATCCCTTTCCCTTTTCTAGCCAACCAGTCTACCTCTGTTCTGTGTTCAGATGACCAATTGCTTGCATTCTAACAAACACCATTTTTTCTGCAGGCCCACAGGGTCATTCAGGGGAGCAAGTCTAAGGGCAATATGTTGGACATTGATTTAAAGCCTGGTGTGTATTCTCTCTGCTTGTCCTTAAATTCAGGTATTACACAGAGCTACATGCTCTTATCGAAGGCCATGTAGGACCCATCATGGATATGAGTATGGTCTCCTATTGGCATTTCCCTGGCCAATACTGAGTCTATTGGGAATCAGAGAAAGCAGCACCATTTACTTCTTGTCCCTCAATCCTTTACCTGTGAAACAACCTGAAGTGGGACATTGCTCACCTTTTCTTCAGGCATTTCCAGCAAGGGCAGGGCTGGATGTGTATCTTGGGAGTTTGAAGGCCAGGTAGGGCTGCTTGGCTCTGATTCATAGAATTTGTATCTGCTGGAATTAGGCTCTGGCAGGAGAGGGCTGCTGTGGCTGTCAGACATCTTCAGGGAGTGGTCACTCATCTGTCATGTGACTGGTGAAAGGGAAAGAGAAAGATCAGGTGAATGAGAATGGGGACACAAAGGGACTCACCCGAGGGGGAATGGAGTGTGACATGGGGGGATGAATAATGACACAAATGTATTTTTATCTCCAACTCTTGAAGCTGGCATTGCCACAGTGGCCAGAGGCCATTCGTCTATCCATATGGCTTTACTTTTCAAAATATCCCCACCTAGAATAAAGTTCAATTCTGCTTCAACTAGTTAGGAGTCTCTACTTTCTGATAACTGATGTATTTTCTTCTTCACTTTTCATTTTTCTCATTATTTTAATATACACAGTATTTTCCACTTGATACATACATATGCACCCAGTACTAGTCTAGGGCCTAAAAGAAACATTTCTAAGTTGCTATGGAGATACTCTTGTTTCAGTTTGACTTCCCATCCCCTCCGTCCCCCTGTCCTCTGAGCCCTGTTTAGCCCGTCTCCTATCCTTTCCTAGGAGTAGTACAACATTGTGGCATGTTCTATTGGAAGCCATGTGCATTTGGGCTGGGTGGGAGATCTTTCCCCTCCATGTGGAACTCTTTTTCTCTTCCCCCCCAATCGGCCCAGGATTTGCGCCATGACTTGCTTTTGGCATACCACTGCTTATCTGTTTCCTGTTTCATCTTGTAACCCACTGGCAGTGCTACATTCTTCTTTCTATTCAGTTATTCTAGCCATTCTTATTTGCCTTTTTCTTTTACTTATGACCTAGAATTTTGCCCCATTGATTTGAATTACCTGAGTTTCAGAAATCATGTATTTATTTATTTATGTATTTATTTTAGGACAGAGGCTGCTGATCCTTCACGTGAGTGCTAACATTCCTTACTCTGACCATTATAGACACTGCTCAAGGGTTGCAGAGGTCTCTTCCAAATGAGATGAAGCCCCCTGTCAAATCTTGCATTAGTACCATTTTCCCAGGCTAGTTCCTCTCCTCCTCCCAACAAGAAGAATTCTTCCCTATGGCTTCCACCCCTCACCAGGTTGTGTAAAACCTCTCTTCCCTGGAGCTCATACCATCTGACCATTCCTCCTACCAGCTGCTTACTGCAGTTACTGAATTTCTTCTCCCGCTCTTATCCAGTGAAGACTTTAGGTACTCCTAAAATCTCTTAGACTCCAATAATTCTAAGTAACTTTCATATTCAGATAGATAGCTCATTGGCCTCTTCTCTGGGTTTTCATCTCCATGGGCAATTTCTACCTTTCTTTCCAGCTATCAGTTACTGTAGCAGAAGCATGAGCTCCATATAAACACTATGAAATCTCCAAAGTCAGATCTGTCCTCTGGCCACTACCTCCAATAACTTGAAGTTCTCTGACTTTCTGGAGACTTGACTCATATTCTCCATCTATCTTCCTTTCTCGCCTTGACCAGGATAGATTTAAAGGCCTATCATTTTGCTTCTTTCGATTCCCTTGTTCTATTCTCCTTCCTTCATGCCTTTATGGAAAAACATCAGCCAGGATAAACCCAGCTTTTCCATGTTTTCACCAAACAGCCTAGCATGGCTAAGAAACAGCTTTTTAAACAGAATACACAGCTTTACTTTCATGTTGATGATTGTCATCCCCAAATTAATGCTTGTTCGTAGCTCACTCCATCCTGGTTTGCAGATCCAGTCTTCAGTCCTCATCTCAACTAGACTGTTCAAGGATATTCTAAGACTTACCACCTTCTTGGACACACTGGTTAGCTTTAACAGTTGATCCTCTTTACGCATGGTTCTTCACCTGCCCTAGGCTGGCTTGCCTCTTGCACGTATGGTCATCCTGAAAAGCTCTCTCTAGACCATTTTTGCTGATGTTCCAGCACAAATGACTCAGGAGTTAGATACAATGCTGCCTTCTCCACCACTCTCTAAGACCTCTAAATTACACCATTTCAGACAACATCTAGATGCTTTCATGTTTTGTTCTTCATCCATCTTCTTACCTGGTGGCCTTTATCTCACTTTCCCCCTGTTGGAGAAGCCTTCTCAGAGCCATCTTTCCCCCAATATTCCTGTTCCTTACACATTCCCAGGGAACTAAGCATTTTTCTTTATAAAATTCATATGTACATATTTGTGCAAACCTCACCCACCTCAGAAGTCAAGATTCATAAGAACAGTGACTTTGTTGTGTATATTGCTATGACCATAGCTCCTAGCACAGTGCATAGTACATAGTAAGTGTTCAATAAATATGTACTAGATGAAAGGAAGAAAAGAGGGAAGGAAATGAGGAAGGAAAGGAGACAGGAAGGGAAGGTTAGAGGGAAAGAGAAATGAGGAGGAAGGAAAGAAGAAAGGAAAAGAGGAAAGGAGGGAAGGATGGAGGAGGAGAAGGAAAGGATTGTAAGTAAAGCTCCAGGTGGTTTCCAAAGTGGGAACGCTTCTTTGGAGAACTTTCCAAGTCACTGTGGGAATCCCTAATGGTTTCAGACCAATATGGGCCACCCACCAGCTCGGTGTATACAGGATGCTAGACCTTTGTCTTGATTAGCACCTGTCTTCACTTCCAGAAGTAGTTTATCAAACCACAGATAATTCTTATGTGGACCTAAGACATCATTTAAATCCAGCACATGATGATACTGATGATGCTCTGGAACAGAGGACTTTTCCTCTCTTCTGATCCTGCAGTGAGAGATGGGGAACACTACCCTGGAAGGGTATGCTAGGTGCAGGAGAGATCATCACAAGGAGCCTAGAAATCTGTCCTTTCCAATGTGCTCTCCCCCTCTGGTGGCCAGGAGCTGGTATAGCAGCCCTGGACCTTTAGTAAAAATTTCCACATGAAAAGTAAGGGAGGTTGGCAGATGTCTAGACATGTGATCTGGATGAACTAGTCATGTTCTGGGAAGAACTTGTGTTAAAATCCATTAAAAGTCCAGTTGAAAAATGATAACAATAGTTATTTTTTAAGCATAGTTCATTGACTCCAAGTTGCTATTGTCTCTAAGATACATGATGATGTCTCACAAAAGCAGAAGAAAGCGCTGCCAAAGTCAATTGTAAGCTGCACCCTGATCCTAAATATGTTAAAATTGTGGCAACAATGCACAGCATAATTAGTAAGCCCAAAGACATAAAGTGATGTGTTTTGAATAGATGCTGCTGAAATGCACAGGTTCAAGTTGGTAATGAGTATATTTAGAAACTGTTGCTTAACCAAAAGATCTCAAATACGTTTATATTTCTTTTGATGAAAAAATGTATATATGCTAGGAGCCCCTTAAGAATAGAGACTGTCAATCAGGCACTAGTGGGTCATGCCTGTAATCCTAGCTATTCAGGAGGCTGAGATTTGAGGATCTCAATTTGAACCTAGCCTAGGCAGAAAAGTCTGTGAGACTCTTATTTCCAATTAACTGCCAAAAAAGCTGGAAGTGGATTTGGCTCAAGTGAGAGAGCAGCAGTCTTGAGCAAAAGAGCCAATTGAAAGCATGAGGTCCTGAGTTCAAGCTCTAGTACCAACACATTCACACACAGGAACAGGGATTGTTTCCTTCTTAGTTTCTGTATCTGTGCCATCCAGCAGAAAGCCTGGCACATATCCTGGATGAATGTTCATTGAAATAAGAAAAGAATGAGTGTTCATATAAGGGAAGTACTCTCTACTCTAAAAGGACACTTGCTTATCCACTCTTATAGAAAAGTAAACTGGAGCTGGTTGTCATGCAGATATAGCTCTCTCTGTTTCCCAAAGGATGCTAATCTTGCCATTATGGTGTCTATAGAAAGGAGAGACCCAAAGGACTGGCTGCATGGTGCAGAGACACATTAGAACAAATATCCTGACCTGGGCTCCCTTCTTATTTCCATGGCGTTGTTGGGCACAGCTAGGGTCTTCAGAGCTCAGTGGCTGGCCCTTAAGTCGTAGGTCCAGGTCCTCAGCCCAACACTGTTTCCCAGACCCACAAAGCCTCGGCAGGAATGATATGTTTCTCTAGGGAACATAGTGTTCCTTTGTCATGGGAATGTTTATCCTGTTAAAATGGGGGAATTTTGGCTTGAGGGCAGGAGTGAGATGCGAAGTAAAAATGGCCTTATAAAGAGAGAAGGTGGCTGTGTTTGGAAAGAGGCCCCAGCGGCTGGAAGCGCCTGGGCTTCTTTGTCACTCTCTTCAAAGGGCAACCTAGGATTCTTAGGGTAATCAAATTGCTGACTTAGTTCCTGGCATATAGTAGGAAGAGGTTAGTGATTTTCATTTCCCCTCCTCTTGGGCTTCCAATTGCAAGGAGAGATGGCTAGAGCAACCAGATGAAGCTCAAGCTGGCTAGTCTAAAACAGAACCTCTTTCAAAAGTTTCCATAAGGCGTCGCCACTTGTTAGAACTGGACATGGAATTCCTGCTCCAGCCACGTCCTGTCTGAGAGCCTCAGAGTCTGTTCCCAATACCATTAGGAGCCAGTCCATTAAACCTGCTTCCAAGAACACATAATGATCTGCCTGGCGCTCTCCCTCACTCCTTGGCTGCCCACACCTTCTCTTCTCTCTCAGAATTATAGACAGAAAAGCTCTTTGGATCAGCCCTGTATCTCTCCAGAAAACAAGGCTCCCTGAGCACACTAGCTGCCCCATGCTCTCAGAATTCTCTTGTTGAGTACCTACTATGTGCCCGTTGACTCCCTTGGAAGGAACAGAACAGAAAGTCCCAGGTGTCTTCTATAAATAACTATTTTGAATGTTGGGGAGAGAGACAATGATCAAACCCTAAGTACTAAGGAAAAGTGATGGCAGATGCTAAGCCCAGTAATTTGCCTTCCCAATGTTGGAAACATGAGGCCCAGGGTTTGAATCAGGACTCGGATCAGCAGGAAAGGAAGAGAAACACATCTCATGCCAAAGCAATTCCTGAAGATATCTCTGGTTTGTGCCAGGAAGTCTCAGTGTGAACACTGTTTGCCCGTGGGGAGAGGTGTCAGCAATCAGACATGCAGGCATAGACCCCAGTTGTTCTTCTAGTGTTTATAAAAGGGG